GGATGAGAACTTGGAGGTCTTCTAGTCTAACTTCCTGTTCAAGCAGGAAATCCTAAACCATTTCAGACCAATTGTCAGACCTGCCACAATCTGATCTCCTAGGAAAGTAAAAACTCTCAACTCCCTTTGGTTGAAGTGAAAAGGCACTTTTACTTAGAGATATTGATCGCAGTAAAGTCAAGTGGAATATAAAATCCCCGTGTGCTAATACAAAATTAAACCTCTGGTTTCCCCTAGCTCTCCCCTCGCGGTCCACCTGTGTGCAGCCAATCCAGCATCCAGATTGTTACGAGAAATGCTGAGGTGTTTGGGCTGGTGAAATTCCACTCTCAGGGCAAACGGCCTTGAACATGCCAGCCTGCCAACACAAACCGGATTCCAAGCCACTTGTTCTGTCCCCCCACCTCACATAGGCAGACACACGAGCAAAAGACATCTATCAGTAATTTATTTTTACAAGCCGTCCTGAATCCCTTTGGAAGATAAAAGTTCTGGCAGCTACTTTCCGAATGCCTGCCAAGTTTCTTATCACCTCTAGAAACAGGAGTCAGTGTATCTGTAGTCCATTGCTGGGGCAACCAAGAGTTCAAAGAGTAGTCAGAAGTCATTCACAAAGTCCAAACCTTAATTCCAAAAGATATCCCATCCGAAGCTCACGATATGCAGTTTTTGTCCGTCACAGAGCCTGCAGAGCAACCCCACCCACTTTTATCCCCGGTGGGGCATGGCTCAGTGACTCAGGAATCTCTGGCCCTTCCCCACCTCTTCCTTTGCTGTGCATGCCTCTCCCTCCGACGCTGCCTGGGATCAATCCAAGATTGATCTTCATCACTCCCTATTAGTGGGTGCCCTGACATGCTTTCCTCCTGGCCTTCAGCTGGAACCTGAGGCGCTGCCAGAAAGGAGGGTCCTGGAGAGGGAGGCCTTGTCAGTTCCTCCCTTTCAGAGTCATCTTCCTCCGTGAGGACGGGCTCGGGATCCGGAGTCACATCACCACTCTTTTCTTCCTTAACTGTCACTTCCCCCCTCCCAGTTTCCCATCATAAAGATATACATCTTTATTGCTCAGTTGTTCCTCCTTCCCTTCCCCGATTGATGACAGAATGACAGCAAGGTGCCATTTATTTATTTATTTATTTATTTATTTATTTATTTATTTATTTATTGGATTTGTATACCGCCCTACTCCCGAAGGACTCAGGGCAGTGAACAGCCAAATAAAATACATATAATACAAATATTAAAAAACCATTACAATACAATTAAATAATTGGCCCAGAAACAAAATTTAAAACACCCCAAATTCATAAGACAAATTTAAAATTTAAAAATTTTAAAAGTTATTAAAAAAGTTTAAAAGAGAAGTTAGGCCAGGCCGGCCTGCTGAAAAAGAAATGTTTTGATGGCATGGTGGAAAGCGCGCAGATCCGGGATCCTCCGTATCTCCGGGGGGAGCTTGTTCCAGATAGTAGGTTCCCCCACAGAGAAGGCTCTCCCCCTGGGGGCCACCAGTCGACATTGTTTGGCCGACGGCACCCAGAGGAGCCCCTCTCTATGGGAGTGTACTGGTCGGTGAGACGCTACTGGTGGCAAACTTGCACCAGTTTAAAAACTTGCAGTGTTGGAGCACCAATAACTTCTGGAGGCAAGTTGCTCTACTGATTAATTGTTCTCACTGTAAGAAAATTTCTCCTTAGTTCTAGACTGGTTTTCTCCTTGATCTACAGTATTTCCATCCATTGCTTCTTCTCCTGCAAAAATTTTACTAAATTTACTAAAATCTTATTTTGATTTTGTTATAGAGATGCATAAATTAAATCAAAACTTGGATGTGACATCTGTTCCTGCTTTAGATCGTAATCTAATAATGGCAGGAGAGGGCTTGTCAAATGATCTATTTCTTGTTTTATTATTTCAATTTAGGTAGCTGTGCCAAACATCTCTTCAAAGGTAGGATGTTATTTTAAACATTGAATCACATTTGCATGGCTTGGTTTTAGCAAGGAGGCTGCAGAGTGATAAAGAGGTATCAAGAGAACTATCAACAGTGGCCTCTCTCTCCCAGCAACGAGAGAGCACCAACAGAACTCTGCTAATCCTATTTCAAGCATCCTACTGATATGCTAGATAAACAGAAGTTTCATCCACAACAACTGAGAAATTGCGAAGCTGGCATTCTCTTGGGCACAAACAACCAGACCCACACATGAAGAATTCAATTAGCTCTTTTATAGCTCAAGCGTAGACATGGGAATCTTCTCGGACAGACATTGGCACACAGCACATAAGGATCAATGGAATTCAAGAAGCATCGGACTTCACCCTCATGTGCCCATGTAGGGATTCCAGACTAGTTCCCTGTTTGACCCCCTCCACCTGGCTTAAGTGGTCTATCCCCAACAGATCTGTACTGTATTAAATTCAATATAGTAACTTGCTTGAATTCCCAGGTGGGTCAATGGATGTTCCAGGTGATGAATCATGTTTGTCCCTTTTTGGCAGATTGTGATGACCCAGGGCATGGCACAAAGGCAACACAGCCAGAGAATAAATATGAGTCCCTTTATTAGCTCCAACTTTGCCCCCAACATCCTGTTTACTTTCCTGTCTGGAGAAAAACTCTCCCACAAAACTGTAACAGCCATTGGCTGAAAATACTCCAGTCCCAAGTGTTATAAACAGAAAACTTCAAACTATAAATCCAACAAGATAAGGTAATTAATCCAGCAGGGCAAGCAAGATAAGGAGTTCCAGAAGTGAAGTAGCAGTAAATCAAACCAGTTGGGAGGATGCCAGGAACTCAGATAAAGCAGTTAACACAAGATGAACTCAGCGTTTGTTCCCAACAACCTCCCCTCCCATTTGCCTCTCCTTTAAACTCCATCCCCAGGTGTGCCTTGTGAAGGGAATCGGGGCCCTTTCCTCCCTCTTAAACCATACAACCCATGTTGCTCTCTTCTCCATTCTTCCCTGCGTGCCCTAGGATGAGGAGGGAGTGGGCCTTGGTCTTCATCTGAACCCCCTCTCCCTTGTTCTAGCTCTCCCCTGCTCTGCCCAGCCTGACTTTGCCCTTCCCCAGTTTCCTCCACAGCCAACGGAGCCACTCTCTCACTCTCTGTCAGCTGTTCATCTCCCTCCTCAGATTCAGACTCCGACGGGGTGCATGACACAGATCTTCTAGAACCACAAATTAAAAAATGGTCTTGATTTGCATGAGTTGATGAGGAGGAGAACATTGGATGCAAGGCTGGCAATGTGGGCTCTCCCCTCCTCACTGTTAATCCTTGTACATGCTGAAGACTGTATGGTGAAAGGAAGATGGGAGCAGCTTTTCACACTTATAAAACTGGGCCCAATTTTATTGGGAAAAAAAAAACAACAACCCACAAATCTCAGCTAAGGCTGTGCCATTTAGGGCACAAATGGAATTCTTATGCCATTATCCATTTTATTGTCCTTGTCATGAAGAATCCTTTCAAACTCTCCAATTATGCTCCTTTCATGGGCTTTTTTTCTCCTTCCTTCTGAGGAGGAGGAGGGGGGTCCCAGCAAAAAAAGAAAAAAAAACCCCACAACACTATTGCTAAGAAAGTCCCGTCAAGATTCTCTCCCCTTTTCACTCAGCATTCTTCCTTTCCCTGCAAGGAGAGCTTTAATGCATTATAATTGAACGATTTTATTGTCTCAGGCCCTCATTGTAATGTTTCAATGATGGAAAGAGACTGGTTCGATTTGACAACTTAATGCGACATTTGTGGTCATTTGAACTCTTTAATGCTGTTGGGCACAACAATTGCTCATCATTGCACCTTGCTCCTCCGCAGATCTCTACAAGAGGACGCCAGTAAATAAGACCTGAAAAAGGACAGAGAAGGCCACTCTTAGAGCAAGAGGAGGGTGATCTTCTATTAAAATATTTTCCCTTCCTGGAAGTTAAATGCAAATTCAAATAATTGATAAAATGCCTGAAAAGAAATGAGGGAACCTAGGTAATGGCGGTGTCAGATATGTATGTATGAAGCTAAAGTAAGAATTGGCCTAGCAAAACAGAGCAAAAACTTGATTTTGAAAAATGTGAGTCCTAGTTTTAGTCAGGAAACCTTATAGGTTTAGTTAGAAGGGACTGTAAGGATCATCTAGACCAACCCTCTAAGAACGTGCATAACAACCAGTTCAGCCTCTTCCTAAATTCCTCCAGTGATAGAGAACTCATACTTCCATAGATAGATTATTCTATTGTTGCATGGATCTTACCATTAAGAAGTTCTTTTGTCCTGATATTTAAATGAAATCTAGGTAGCTGCAACTTATAAACGTTATTTTTAAGAGATTAACAGATTAACAGAGTTGCAAGGGACCCTGTAGGTCATCTAGTCCAACCTACCGCGCAAGCAGACTCTGCGCCATTTCTGACTGATAACAGACCAGTCTCTTCTTGAAAGCCTCCAGTGATGAAGTTCCCACAACTTCTGAAGGCAACTTCCGTTCCATGGATTGATTGAACTCACTGTCTCACTATTTCTGATCCTAGGTTCTGTGGCCATGGTCATTTTGTCCTGTCCATTTTTGCTCTGGCACTCTTTTATAGATTTGAACCCAAACTACCATGTCTCTTCTCAGTCTTCCTTGATCCACATTGAACATCCTAAGATCCTTCACTCTCTTCCTATTCCTTTTCCTCTAGTTCCTGTATTCTCTCTCTCTCTCTCTCTCTCTCTCTCTCTCTCTCTCTCTCTCTCTCCCTCTCTTTCTCTCTCTCTCTCTGTGCCTCTTTTGAACCCTCCAACGAACCAATATCCTTCTAGAAATTTGGTGCTCACATCCTTTGTTTTCCCAAACAAGCCTACACCAACTCCAACAGCTTCAGATAATCACTTGCAAAGTGGCCTTCTCTGCCCATTTGCTGTAAAAATTTCTGAATCCATGAGGGATGCCTGTTAAAAATTAGGAGGGAAATGATTAATGGTACAATTGTGTCAAAGCATTAGAGATGGAAAAAGTGAAGATGAAAGCAAGAATTTAATATGGAATGTATCCCTCAAATAGGGCTGATTGCTAGAGGAATAAAATGTGACACAATTGCTTGTCTTTCTTTCTTTCTTTCTTTCTTTTTTCTTTCTTTCTCTTTCTTTTTTCTCTTTCTTTCTGTTTCTTTTTCTTTCTGTTTTCTTTCTGTTTCTGTTTCTTTTCTTTCTTTCCCTTTCTTTCTTTCTTTCTTTTTCTTTCTTATTTTTGCTTTCTTTCTCTTTCTTTCTTTCTTTCTTTCTTTCTTTCTTATTTTTGCTTTCTTTCTCTTTCTTTCTCTTTCTTTCTTTTTCTTTCTTTCTCTTTCTTTTTTCTCTTTCTTTCTTTCTCTTTCTTTTTTCCTTCTTTCTTTCCTTCCTTCTAGAAAAGAGATTCAGGAAAGTATTATAAAGATATAGCTCAGACAACTTAGCATTTTTTTTTCAGGCAAATTAGTAAAGCCAGTAACGAAAGAAGATATACAGCATCTAGAGGAATCTGCATGGATTCTGCAAATGTCAGCTTCCCTCAGCAAAGTTAAATCCCTCCTCCTCAAACTTCTGGATCTTTTTGACAGTGTCAACAGACACATGGATGGAGGTGACCTTGTCAACCTTCTGTATTTGGGCTTTCAAAAAGCCCTTTGACCAAATTCCTTATCAAAGGCTATTGAGTGAACTTAGTGGTCATGGGATAATAGGACCTGTCCTTTTATGGATTACTAACTAGTTAAAAAGAATAACGGAAAGAAAAAGAAGATAGGCATAAATAGGCAATGTTCTCAAAGGAGAGAAATAAGACGTGGGGTCCCTCAAAGATCTGTATGGGGAGCAGTGATTTTTTCAGTGGGATCACAAATGATTCTAATGGAGTGGCTTGATGTCAGCAGACCAAATTTGTAAAGGATACCAAATTATTAAGGCTAATGAGAAGCAGAAATGATTCCAACAGGGCTATTTTTATGTTCCTAAGGATGAGTTCAGGAAATTCCATTTATCACAAGGTAAGAAACTCATCTTCGTGATTAATGCAGTAACACCCACATTAGGATAACTGTACCAGGAGTTGTTTCTGAAGATTCATGAAAGCTGTGGCTGATATGAAGTGTATCTCCCTAGGTATTACATTTACAGTTTGGTGTAGTGGTGAATTGGTTAAGGCACAAGGCCTAGAAAGCAAAAGACCATGCCTTCTAGTCCCACATTAGGTACAAAGCCAACTGGATGACCTTGGGCCAGTTCATAATCTCTCAGCCCTAGGAAGCAGACAATGGCAAGCCACTTCTGAAATCTTGCCAAGAAAATCTCAAGGACTGGTGTCAGCAGTCACCAAGAGTCAACCTTGATTTAAAGGCACAAAGACACAAACAGGTTAAGTGAGATGGCTAAATGGTATTGTATGATGGCAGTTCTTAAGGTAGCAATAGCACTTAGACTTATATATCACTTCACAGTGCTTTACAGCCTTTTCTAAGTGGTTTACAGAGTCAGCCTATTGTCCACCAACAATCTGGGTCCTTATTTTACCAACCTTGAAAGGATGGAAGGCTGAGTCAACCTTGAGCCTGGTGAGATTCGATCTGCCAAATTGCAGTCAGTCGGCAGTCAGCAGAAGTAACCTGCAGTACTGCACTCTAACTACTGCGCCACCATGGTTCTATCTAAGATAGTATTTTGCTGCCTGTTTTCTACATCAATATATAGAGCTAACATCAATCTCTAATGCCCTAAAGTACTTAGGACACAAGTATTAAAACAGTTTTTCTACAATAGACCCCAGCCTCTATATTACCACCTCCTTAGAAGATACTTCTCATAATTCTGTCTTTGGATCTGACTTGCAGAACAGTGAGTTAGAATAGGAAGTTCTCAGTGGCAGAAATGGGGAATTTTCCATGGGATAACCATGGGATTAAGGGTTCTTGGTGCTCCCTGAGCTTTATTGTTTTCTTGCAGAAGTTTCATTACCTAAACTAGATAACATCCTCCATGCTAGTAAGGAACCATGGAATTACTAAGGAATCAGACATCAGCCGACACAGTCTTCTTAAATTGCAACCACAGATTCTCTGGCAGAGAACATACAGCAGATCCCATGTGATTCAGACTCAGATCTTCTTGCATTCCCAAGCATTTCTGGAATAGCTATTCCTTCAGAACATGAGAGAAATTATTGTTTTTCTTGTGGATTATTTTATTGAATTGTTTTTATTGCTTTTCTTCAGCAGACCACAAGGAAGGAAGGAAGGAAGGAAGGAAGGAAGGAAGGAAGGAAGGAAGGAAGGAAGGAAGGAAGGAAGGAAGGAAGGGACCAAATCAGGAATATTCTGAAGCAAGAACATTATTCAAATGAATTTTTTTTTAATGTTCACTTGGCAGTCTCCTTCATTTTTTGCTCTTCACACAGGACTGGCCAGATGCCTCTGAGAAACCCACAAACTGGATATGAGGTCTTTCTAGAGACACTCTTCTACTGTGGTTGCCTAGCAACTGTCATTTAAAAGCATTCTACTTCTACTTTTGGAGCCACGTGCATAGCCATCCTCCTAACCAACGGTTCATAAGAGCCTTTTCCTCCTTGTATTTGTATAATTCCCTCTTGAAGCAAAACTAGTGGCCGTAACTGCATCTTACGGCACTGAATTCCACCACTTATTGAAGAGCTGCATTACGAAGGACCTCTTTATCAATCCTAAATCTCTTAGCATTCAGCTTCAATGGAGGAGCTGAAGTTCTACTCTTCATAAGGAGGAAAGTGATCATTTAACCAGTATCTTTGTGCCGCTGAAAAATATGGTAATTGTTTTCTCCTGCGCCCACTCACTTGCTCTAACAATTCTCAGTGCTTGCTTCATCTCGATCTCCTATCTCCACTTAAAGTTTTTATGTGTTCCCCTGAACAGGAATTGATGCTCCACTCCTAGGCGGAACCTCAAACACGACATCTTTCTTAACAACCTTCACTTAAAAAGGAAAGTTGGAGGCAGACCAGAAATTATCCAACACAATTTGGTTCACAAATGGTTTCATCAACCATTCTACAACCTCCTTAAATGTGGGCAGGACCACTCCTCTTAAACTATTCCCTTTTGGATACAACCACATCTCCTAGGAGACTTTAACCAACCAAGAGGGGCATGGATCTAAAACACTGGTAGACCCAGAGGCCCAAGGACTCTACACTTTTCTCCAGACTTATAGGATCAAACGTTTCCCACATCAGTCCATGTCTCACCTACTTTGAGAAGACCAGCACATCCATCTCCAACCAAATCCATGTAAATGTATGTGACACACTCTGTGAAAAATCCTGTTTGTCCATTTTAAACGTTTTCTCACCTGGGACATTTGATTTAGTAATTTGTTGGAATTGGTGATAGCAATGAATCTATTTTCTATTATTTGTATTTCCTGCCTTTATCTGAGGTAATCGTAGCAGCACCTGGAAGGCTCTGAGAAATTCTAAAGCAATCCTCTATTCAACTTCAAATAATATTAAAATTGTTGTTGTTAACGAGGTAAGCGTATATTATTGTTCAAGACAAATAGCGAAAAGTGAAGTCCTACACTTAGGCAAGAAAAACCAAAAGTACACATATAGATTGGGTGAAACCAGGCTTAATAGCAGTAACTGTGAGAGGGATAATAGAAGGAAGGAAGGAATAATAATAATAACTTTATTGTCATTGTACGTGTATACACAGTATACCCATTCAACGAAATTCACTTAACACCCAAAGACCAGGTCCAACACACATAACAATCCCCAAACACACCCCCACCCACCACAATTCCCCACCCCTAAACCACCCAAACATCCACACAAAAGACCAAGTAATGGTGTCCAACAGCTCACTGATGGTGGCCCTTTAGTTCATTGTTGAGTGCAATTATAGCTCTGGGATAAAAACTATTCAGAAAACATGTGGTCCAAGTTTTAATTGTTCTGTATCTTCTGCCTGAAGGCAACAGTCCAAAAAGATTGTAAGCAGGATGGGAAGAGTCTCTGAGAATGTTATGCAACTTCCTCAAACAGCCAGATTCGAAGATGTCGTCCAGGTCTGGTAGCTGGAGCCCGATGATATTCTGGAAGAAGGGAGGGAGGGAGGGAGGGAGGGAGGGAGAAAGGAAGGAAGGAAGGAAGGAAGGAAGGAAGGAAGGAAGGAAGGAAGGAAGGAAGGAAGGAAGGAAGGAGATTATAACGAGAGTGAGGATCTCATGGAAGTCCTACCTTAGCACTTGGCCACCACAGGTGCCCCTGACAGGAATACCATGTCATGCTCACCACAGCCAAGCCCACCCCTAGCCATGCCCCCTAACCATGTGCCCTCCCCCTCCGCCCTCTGAGGTCAAACACAACCCTGATATGACCCTCAATGAAATCCCTGCTCTAGCTCCACCAGGGTAAGGACAATGAGAGGACTTTTAAGGATAAAGAGAGACTCAACCTAGAAGTAAGGGGAAATTTTCTGACAGTGAGAGCAATTAATCAGTGGAATAGCTTGCCTCTTGAAGTTGTGGGTGATGATCCTTCAACTGGAGATTTTCAAGAACAGATTGGATGACCATTTGTCCAGAATGGAATAAGATCTCCTGCTTGAGCAAGGAATTGAACTAGAAGGGGTCCTCCAAGATCCCTCCCATCCAGGGGTGAAATGCTCCCGGTTCGGACCGGATCGCCCGATCCGGTAGCGATGGTGGCAAGTGGTTTGGAGAACCAGTAGCAAAATCCCTGCCCCCCCTCCATTGCCCAGCTGGAGCCACACAATCATCAGAGGCTTTTTTTTAATTATTTTTAAAAGCATTTTTTCTACAACCTCTTTGGCCGAAAAAATGCTTTTAAAAGTAAAAAAAAAAAAAAGCCTCTGATGATCGCGCGGCTCAGCTGGGATCATCAGAGGCTTTTAAAAGCATTTTTTCTACAACCTGTTCAGCCGAAGAGGTTGTAGAAAAAATGATTTTAAAAGAAAAAAAAAAGTTGGCCACGCCTACTGAATCATATTACCCCCCCCACCAAGCCACGCCCACAGAACCGGTAGTAACAAATTTTACATTTCACCACTGCTCCCAGCCCTATGATTCCATGGTTTTCTGCCATGGCTGACATCAATGAATCCAATGAAGAAAACTACCTTGGAGTTCTCATCTCAAATGATCTAAGTGTCAGAGCTCACTGTAACAGCATTGCCAAAAAGGCATTAAGAGTTGCTAACCTAATCTTGCGAAGCTTCTTCTCCGGTAATATTGTACTGCTAACTAGGGCATACAAAACCTTTGCTAGACCAATTCTCAAATACAGCTCGTCTGTCGGGAACTCACACTGCATATCGGACATTAATATAATTGAGCGAGTCCAGAGGTATTTCACGAGAAGAATCCTCCACTCCTCTGCTCACAACAGAATATCTTATGCCACCAGACTCCAAATTTTGGGCTTAGACAACTTAGAACTATGCCGACTTCAGTCTGACCTAAGCATAATACATAGAATTATCTGCCACAATGTTCTTCCTGTCAATGAATACTTCAGCTTCAACCACAATACACGAGCAAATAATAGATACAAACTCAAGGTAAACCGCTCCAAACTCGATTGCAGAAGATATGACTTCAGTAACAGAGTGGTCAATGCCTGGAATGCACTACCTGACTCTGTAGTTTCTTCCCCAAACCCCCAAAACTTTAACCTTAGACTGTCTACTTTTGACCTCACCTCATTCCTAAGAGGTCTGTAAGGGGCGTGCATAAGCGCACCAGCATGCCTACCATCCCTGTCCTAATATTCCTTTTTACTCTTACTCTTTTCATGTATTCAAATGATGTTTATACTTTTACCTGTTATCTTATACATGTTTGACAAATAAATAAATAAAATAAAATAAAATAAATAAGAATGGATACTGTGGGATCCCTGAATAATGAGATCATTCAATGAGTACACTTTAGTATGTCAGGGATCTAAGCAGATATGAGGGAAAAGCTGTTAAGGTAAGAGATATTTCGAAGGACTTTCCTAGATTTGCTTGGAAAATGAAAATGAGAGTGACCCCCACCCACACATTTTACATAAAAATAAATTTAAATATTGCCCAGAGTTGTTGGGAGTCAGGTAGCATATAAATTTAAATAAATACATAATTTATGGAACAAATCATGTTACCTGCATTCTATACTTGACTCTCTGAAAGCTTACAGATTATAAATGTCCTCTTTTCATGCTTGAGAAGACCAATGTCAGTCCCCAAATGCGGTTCACTGGTTCATTGCGATGAGATACGTAGTCTACAAAATTAATGTAGTTGTAGAAACTTGTAGAAAGTAGAAAACTGAGAATATTTCTGGGTTTTATTCCCCTGCAGAGATGGACGCTGCAACTGGTTTAGTCAGTGCTATATTATAGAACAGTGAGGCAAGGACCTGGTAAATACTGAATTTTTGGTTCAACAGATATCCAGCTTATTTTCTCTTGGTAATGTATTTAATTTAAAAGAAAAAAAAAGATAGTTGCTTTAATGATTTTCATATATTTTCAAGAATATTATTCAAAAGCTGACTGGCATATGCCTTCCTCCCTCCCTCCCTCCCTCCCTCCCTCCCTCTGTTTTCCTTCCTTCCTTCCTCCCACCCTCCCCCTTCCTCCCTCCCTTCCTCCTTCCCTCCCTATGTCTTCCTTCCTCCCTTCCTCCCTCCCTCCCTCCCTTCCTTCCTCCCTCCCTCCCTTCCTTCCTTCCTTCCTCCCTCCCTCCGTCTTCCTCCCTCCCTCCCTCCCTCCGTCTGTCTTACTTCCTTTCTTCCTTCTTTCCTTCCTTCCTTCCTCCCTCCTTCCCCCTTCCTCCCTCCCTCCCTCCCTCCCTCCCTCCCTTCCTCCTTCCCTCCCTCCCTCCCTCTGTCTTCCTTCCTCCCGCCCCCTTCCTTTCTCCCTCCCTCCCTCCCTCCCTCCTTCCCTCCCTCCCTCCCTGTCTTTCTTCCTTCCTTCCTTCTTTCCTTCCTTCCTTCTTTCTCCCTCCCTCCTCCCCCTCCTTCCCTCCCTTCCTCCTTCTATCCCTCTATCTTCCTTCATTCCTTCCTTCCTTCCTTCCTTCCTTCCTTCCTTCCTTCTTTTCTCCCTCCCTCCGTCTTCCTTTCCTCCCT